GGGGGGGGGTGTTGCGATAGACAAAGCTTTTCCTTAGTTTACACATTTCCCAGGAGAAATTGATAAGTCGGCCTGTTCGAGGCCAACCATGGAGTCAGATAATCCACAATAGTTGATTTATTCAGACAGACTGTTTTTTCCTTGTCAGCCTTGAGTCTTACTGGTACTTCCAAGGTCTGAAATGTCCAGATCAGGGTGCATTCTACTGGTCCGTGCTTTCGAGCCTCTTCAAGAACGTTTCATGCTGATGAGTCCAAAGCCGCAGGTGGCCTGCGATTCAAATCACTTCTATCTTACGGTTTAGCTCGTAAATCAGCTGATTTTGAGTCTTCAAAGCACGAACCAACCTTCACACAGGCAGCTGCTGACGAGGTCCAAATTATCTGCGGCCGCCTTCTTTGTATGTTCATAAACCAGGAACCAGACTATTCCAAAAACAGGAAGCCTGTTATCATAAATCCAGTTATATGCAATTTCAGCGTCCTCGATCGATAGCAGAGGTCGACACATCCCCCCAGAGGTATATCCATCTGCATGCGTCTCGTCCGAGCAGATGAGGGTTCTCCAGGACCCTGTCGCTTTGTTGAAAAGATTTTGTCATTCGCGTTGAAAGTCCAGTCGGTCAGATCCAAAACAGTAGTTTTCATTTTGGAAAATGTGTAAAAATAGGAGCTGCTCTGATAGACAGACAGAGAGCAAAAAGGCAGGAGGAGAGCGGGGAGAAAGCGTGCGCCTCGTTAGAGAGCCAGTGAGGAAAAAAAAACATTAATTAAAAATATGCTAAGCACTAATAGTAGAACCAGGTGAGACCTGAAACCAGGTTAAAGTTTGCTGATTTCAGTTTTGCTCAGTTTTATTTTTTTCTCAATAAAAAGAGACAGAAAATCAACAACAAATCCTGAAAAACAAATCTTTGTTTACGCAACATATTTACATGTCATGGAATGAACAGGAAAGATTTTGAGCTACTCTTCTTTACAGAAACTCAAAGTCCTTCAGGTTTCTTGGCTGCTGTTTTGCAACTTGAAGGTTCAGCTGCTTTACAGACCCTCTGCAGGACTGAGGTCTGGAGACCAGCTTGGGTGCTCCAGGTCCTGGTTCTGCTTTAGCTGCTACTTTGTTTCCTTGGTGGGATGTTTTGAGTCAGTATCCAGCAAGAAGACCCATCAATGACCCATCTTCAGTGTTCTGGCTGGACGACAAAAGTTCTGGTCCAAGAGTTTACAGTTCTTTGTCAGTTTGTACTTCATAAAGTTTCCACCTCCACGCTTGACTGTGGGGATGGAGTTATTCACACTCAGCATTGTTCTTCCTCCAAACACAGCTGGTCCAACTGATGCCAGAGATCTGATTTTTGGTCTCATCTGACACCCTAATATTCTCCCAAACCTAAGCCACCAAGCTCTCTGGAGAATTTAGAATAGAAACAGCCTTTATTGTCCCATGGATGGGAAATTCAAGTGTAACAGCAGCAACAAATAAAAAAATAAAAAGATTTCACACAAAATATCCTGATGCTGCTCAATAATCCAGGTATAAAAGTCCAAAACAGTTCAATCTGGTCCACTGGACATTCTAATAAACCAAAAAACAAAACAAAGCAAAAAAAAAAAAATGTAGAAACGTTTCGTCTCTCATCCAAGAGACTTCCTCAGTCTGAGGTGCTGTATTCAGCTCAGTCTCTTAAATAGCACCTTCTCAGAGTGGATCAACCAGTTTGCTGCTGACAACCAGAACCAGCTGATCACATGCTCAAGAAGGACCATCAGCCTAACAATGGATCATTAGCACCTGATGGCTGTTTACTGTTCACAGAGGGCTGAGTGATACTAGCAATCACAGCATTGTAAGAGGGGGACAGTTGAACCCGGAGGCTCCACCCCTGTTTAATGATGGACGGTGTCTTTTCACAAAGATGGCCTCCTTTACTCCTGACTGGAGTCCTGTTTGGGTTTCTTCTCTCTTTCAGGAAGGCCCAGTTAGGATATCCACATTGCTCTAGAGCCTGTCTTGTGTGGGATTTCTCCTTCTGCCTGGCTCCTGAGCTAGTGGGGATGCTGTCTGCTCTGTGGTACAGAGTCCTGATGACTCCTAACTTGTGCTCCAAAGGGTGATGGGAGTCAAACTGCAAATACTGGTCTGTGTGGGTGGGTTTGCGGTACACCTCAGTTTGCAAATGTCCTCTATCAGAGACTGAGACCTCACAGTCCAAGAAAGCCAACCTGCCATTTTTTACATCTTCTCGTGTGAACTTGATGTATTTATCCACAGAGTTGATGTGGTCAGTAAAATGTTGGACTTCCTGAGATTTAATTTTAACCCAGGTGTCGTCAACATACCTGAACCAATGACTTGGTGGTGTCCCTGAAAAGGACGTCAAGGCTCTCTTTTCTACCTCCTCCATGTACAGGTTGGCAACAATAGGAGAAACTGGAGACCCCATAGCACACCCATGTTTCTGCCTATAATATTGCTCCCCATATGTGAAGTAGGTTGACTGCAGGCACAGTTTCAAGAGTTGACACAGTTGTTCTGTGGAAAGTGTGGTCCTGCTGCTCAGAGTGGTGTCTGATTTTAATCTTAAACTGACCACCTCTACTGCATCATCAACAGGAATGCACGTAAAGAGTGATGTGACATCAAAAGAGACCATTGTTTCTTCAGTCTCCATGATGACATCCCTCACCTTGTCCACAAAGTCCATGGTGTTCTGTATGTGGTGTTCTGAGCTGCCAACTAAAGGGATGAGTACAGACGCCAGATATTTGGAAACATTGTAAGTGACAGAGTTAATCATGCTAACAATAGGTCTTAAAGGTACACCTTGTTTGTGGATTTTAGATAAACCATACAGACTAGGTGTGGCCTCCCCTGGGTACAGTCTGTGGTACAGAAAACGGTCAATAGCCTTGTCCTGTTCCAAAATTTTCAGGCAATCTATTAACTTCTTCTTGTAACCACTTCCTGGATCTCTTTTCAGAGGTTCATAAGTGGTTAAGTCACTAAGGAGTGTCATAACTTTCTCATGATAGTCTTTCTGGTTCAAAATCAGAAAACGAGAGCACATCACCCCTGTCTTAAAATCACTACACTGGCTCCCAGTTCGTTTCCGGATTAATTTTAAGGTTCTTTTGTTTGTATTCAAATGTCTTCATGGTCTCGCCCCACAGTATCTGTCCGTCCTGCTGTAGCTGTACATTCCCTCACGCTCTCTCAGATCAGCTGATCAGCTGCTGTTGGCCGTCCCAAAGTCCAACAGGAGGCTGAGGTGACCGAGCGTTCTCAGTCGCTGCCCCTGAACTGTAGAACGAGCTGCCTCTGACATCACTTCCTGTTTTTAAATCTGCTATGAAGACTCATTTTTTCTCTTTGGCTTTTAACTCAGCTTGAAATAGTAGTTTTGCTGTTTTTAAGTTATTTGTTTTATAGTTGTTACTGTTTGCTGTTTTAGGATTTGGTACTTCATTACTTTTATGGTATCTGTTGAGTTTATAGTTTTTATGCTTGTATGTGTTAGTGTACAGCACTGTGACAAACGGTGTTGTTTTAAAGTACTTTATAAATAAAGTTGTATTGTATTGGTTTATTGGTTGGTTTGTTGGTCGTAATCGGTCAGTCAATTTGTAGGAGCTGGAATCCGGGCAGATTGTTGAGGATCAAATACTTATTTTACTCAGTAACATGTAAATCAGTCTGTAACTCTTCTTGACATTTAGTTAACATACTGTCTCTTTCCATTAAAAGCAAACTATTGTACAATTTAGAGTGTGTATTTATTTGTTGGTGGTTAAACTGAGAACAAATAGTTTGCTTCTCTGTAAAAAGATGTGTTTGTGGTCAGTCCGTTCATCAGAGCTCTGTTCCCGGAGAACCTGGAGGCAGAAAAGAGAGGACGACCAACCACTGCGAGCAATAAGATCAAGGTGAGACAAATAGTGACAGATGTATCATGTATGAGGTAAATGGTTATTTACTAACCAAGATTGAACCGTTCCACCTGGTGTTTACTGTTATAAGTTCAGGAAAGGTCCAACAGGTTAATCCCTTCCTCCTTCTATTTAGAAACAAGCCAACAGTCTGGTCCAGACCCTGATGAAATGCACCCCCCATTACATCCGCTGCATTAAACCCAATGAGACCAAAAAGTCCCGGGACTGGGAGGAGAACCGAGTTAGACACCAGGTGGAGTATCTGGGCCTCCGAGAGAACATCAGAGTTCGTCGGGCTGGATACGCCTACCGTCGAGTCTTCAACAAGTTCCTGCACAGGTCACATATCCAAGACCGCAAGAACCAGACCCAGATGGTACTTCAAATGTTCTAATGGACTCATGTTCTGCAGGTACGCCATCTTAACCAAGGAGACCTGGCCTCAGTGGAGGGGCGAGGAGCGTCAGGGAGTCCTACACCTTCTCCGCTCGGTCAACATGGACCAAGACCAATTCCAGCTAGGAAAAAACAAAATCTTCATCAAAGCTCCAGAGTCGGTATGAAATGTTCAGGAAGTGTTTCCTTTCTTGCAAACTTTCAAAGTAAAGTTCTTGCTAGCTGAAACAGTAGGGTTCACAGATCCTGAAACCTGACCCGACAGATTCTGTTCTGGTTGCTTGTTTCATTTCTGCAGCTCTTCCTGCTGGAGGAGATGAGGGAGAGAAAATTTAACGGTTACGCTCGTGTCATCCAGAAGGCCTGGCGCAAACACATCGCTGTCCGCAAATACGTCAAGATGAGAGAGGAAGGTAAGAGAGCAGCAGAAGAATCCCCTCTAATTTTCCAAGGCTCTTTCTCTGAACTTCATCTGCTGCCTCTCCCAGCCTCTGATGTTCTGCTGAACAAGAAAGAGCGGCGCAGAAACAGCATCAACAGGAACTTTGTGGGAGACTACATCGGGACGGACAACCACCCTGAGCTCAGACAGTTCGTTGGACGCAGAGAGAGGATCGACTTTGCTGATGTTGTGTTGAAATTTGATCGAAGATTTAGGGTAAAACAAAATTCAATTCAAGAACCAATGTCATTGGACAAGACAACTCTAAAGCTATACTTTTGTTTTTTCATGACCTTTGACCTTGAACCTCCTGTAGAGTCTCAGATGCAGCTTATTTCTCTGAGCACTGCTCGGTCCGACCGTCAGGGTGAATTTCCAATGAAGACTCGGCTGTATGAAATGTTTTCCCTCTTGTGAATAATATTTCTCTCTGTAGAGTGATGAACTCTAAATGACCTTTGACCTTTCTCTGGTGGGCAGCAACAGCTGCTTCTTTAAGGGTCATTGCTGATGTCTTTCTGTCTTGTTGTTGTGTTAACTCCTGGATGTTTCTCTACAGGTGATCCACTGATGTGGTGTAGACCACAATAAACCTAAATATTTCAGTGGAAATGTATTTATTGTCAGAGAAGACAGAGGAGGTCAAGTTACCTTCTCTGTAAGCTCCTATCGTTGCCGTGGTTGTGTTGGCCCAAATGCTTCTGTCGATGGTTCTCCTGTGGTTCTCTGATATGTTCCTATTGTTCTGCAGACGGTGAAACGGGACCTCATCCTGACACCAAACTTCCTCTACATGATTGGTCGAGAGAAGGTGAAGCAGGGTCCAGATAAAGGTCAAATCCAGGAGGTTCTCAAGAGAAAGATTGAAGTCAGCAAAGTCCAGTCTGTGTCTTTAAGGTACGCTCCTAGAACTAAGACCAAGAACCTAAACAAGAACCAGGAAAACTCTCCAGCATGAACCTGGGTCAGAACCAGAAGTAGAGTCAAAACACATAAAAGAAAAATAGGGTAAAAACTACAAGTAGCATTCATTCATTCATTCATTCATTCATTCATTCATTCATTCATTCATTCAACCTTTATTTATACAGGCTAGTCTCATTGAGCCATGGGGACTCAATTGCAAGAGGGACCTGTTTCAGACAGAACATATAAAGTACAGACAACAAAACAGTAAATGACAACAATAAACTGCAGTAAAAACAGTGACAGTTCTGTAAGAACCAGATCAGAGCCAGAACTGGACCACAAAATCCTCAGAAAAAACAAAAAGACAAAAACCTGCAGAGTAAATGAGATTAATCTATGAGATTTAATTTTAATTCATGTCTGACCTGTCTGTCTGTCCGACCAGTATGTCTCTGACCTGTCTGTCTGACTGATCTGTCTGTCCGACCTGTCTGTCTGTCTGACCAGTCTGCCCCGTCTGTCTGTCTGACTGACCAGTCTGTCTGACCTGTCTGTCTGTCTGGCCTGTCTGTCTAACTTGTCTGTCTGACCTGTCTGTCTGACCTGTCTGTCTGACCTGTCTGTCTGTCTGACCTGTGTCTAACTTATCTGTCTAACCTGTCTGTCTGACCTGTCTGACCAGTCTGTCTGACCTGTCTGTCTGACCAGTCTGTCTAACCTGTCTGTGTGACCTGTCTGTTTGTTTGTCTGACCTGTCTGTCTGACCTGTTTCTTTGTCTGACCTGTCTGTCTGACGTGTCTGTTTGTCTGACCAGTCTGTCTGACTGACCTGTTTGACTGACATGTATGTCTGTCTGGCCTGTCTTTCTGACCATTCTCTCTGACCTGTCTGTCTGACCAGTCTGTCTAATCTGTCTGTCTGACCTGTCTGTTTGTTTGTCTGACCTGTCTGTTTGTCTGACCTGTCTGTCTGACCTGTCTGTCTGACCTGTCTGTCTGACCTGTCTGTCATATCTTTCTGTCTGACCTGTCTTGTTTTTCTGACCAGTCTGTCTGTCTGACCTGTCTGTCTGTCAGTACCCTGCAGGATGACCTCTTCATCATCCACGAGGCGGAGTACGACAGCGTTCTTGAGAGCGTCTTTAAGACAGAGTTCCTCAGCCTGCTGGTCAAACGCTTCCAGGAACGAACCGACAGGAAGCTGCCGCTCAAATTCAACAACCTGTCAGTATAAGACTCTGCTTCACTTCCTGTTTGGGTGTCCTTCAGGGGCTGTCTACATCTGTCCACATCTGTTATGACTGTCCATGTCTGTCCCAACAACCCCCCTCGTGTCTGTTTGGGTTGAAGGTGTAAATCTATTGCAGCCTGCAGGTAATGGTAAATGGTAAATGATATATGGACTCTACTTATACAGCGCCTTTCTATCTGATCAAGATACTCAAAGATCTTTACAACAATCTGTGCCTCATTCACCCATTCATACAGCTCTATACTAGATCTCTACAGAGAATAATCAGTGCTTTCATCACATTCATACACTGATGAGACACATCGGAGGCAATGAGGGGTTCAGTGTCTTGCCCAGGGACATTTCGGCATGTGACTGCTGGTGGAATCGAGCCCTCAACTCTTACATTGGAGGACGTCTACTCTAACCACTCAGCCACAGCCGTCCACATGGGGTCTTCTGTTAGCTGCTAATGCAAACTAGGAAGTATCTACTTGTTACTGAAATGTGTTTGCATGTCCTGCATTCTGATCAAACCACGCTCAGAACGCTGGACCCAGAACCCAGTTCTGGGAATGAAACAGGATGTCACATGACAGCATCCTGTCACATTATGGCTCATTGTTGTTTGATCCTGGCTTTACAAAAACGAAACCAGAATCCCAGGCACCCTCAAACAGGAAGTCTGATCAGAACTCCATACAGACACCACTGACAATGGTGCTGAACATTTGCTGACACACTCTGAGGAGTTTGGACTTTCAGAACTTTTATGTCCTTTCCATCCTCCAGTCTGGAGTTTAAGGTGAAGAAAGGTGGCTGGGGTCCGTTCAGCTCTTCAGGCTCCAGGCAAATCCAGTTCCAAGTGGGCCAGGGGGACGAGGCGGTACTGAAGGCCAGTGGGAAGGTCCTGCAGGTCTTCATTGGGCCTGGTCTTCCCAAAAATTCCAGTAAGTTCTAACAAGGTTGTGTTACTAAAAACTTTGTGTCCCTTTCTTCACTTCCTGTCTCGTCTGATCTGCAGGACCAACGAGGAAAGACAATCGTAAAAGCCAATACAGGGGCAGCTGGGCTCCGCCCACCAAGCATAACACCTCTGGTAAATGTAGATCTGGTTCAAGTGCCAGAACCTCTCTGTCTGAATGTCAGGATGATGATTGATTTTTATTTTTGCTTCAGGACTTCCTCTGAGAAGCAGCGGAGCACAAAGAGGCCAGCAGACCTTCTCCAGAGCCTCCCTGCTCAGGAAGCAGACCAGCATGGAGCAGCCCACCCTGCCCCGTCTACAGAACCAGCATCGCTCTGGACATCAGCAACCTCGGAACCAAGACATGGGTTTCATGAACGTCCCGGATCAGGGTGCTGCAGGGTGAGACCCCTTGTGAGAGTAACCAGTGGAACCAGTAAAATCTGACAAATATATAGTTCTCACAAATGTGACCAGTATTGCGCAATACCGGGTTTTCTGCCATTTGTTGAGGCGCATGTGAAGAAGATGCTTAGACAGACCAGAGCTCAGTATGTTGATACTCTTGACCAAGAGCAAGATCTAGGCGTAAAACAGCTGCGGTCCCTATGAGGAGGAAAGAAATGATGTCAGACGAAGCGGACAAGTCGTCACCGAGAAGTTACTTTGATATCGTTAATTATTAATGAACACCAGGAGTGCTACCACGGAGGAGCTTCAGCTTTAAATCCACAGATGTTCATAATCAATGACGGATTTGTGACGGACGTCCGAACTCTTCATGTTAACAAAGTTCTGGTGACTGGCAGAGTAAGTAGTTACAATAATATACACGTAGATGTTCCTCATAGCTACATGCTACATAGCTACATGCTACATAGCTACATGCTACATCAGCTAAACTAATCTGTGCTGCATTCAAGATGGCTGTTATTTACTGTAGCACAGTTTAGCTGATGTAACTTGTGCTACAGTAAATATCACTGATTATTTCTCACATTACACTTTATTTATTTTACCTGTGACTGACTTTCATACTCGGTGTTAACAAAATAAATCACGTGTAATTATTGCTCATAGTATTTAACGTGCTACAGTAAGTGTCACTGATTTTATTTATTTTCCACTGACTGCCTTTGTTAATAAAGTTAGTGGTGAAAAGTTACGGTTTGGTAACTCCTTTTAATCCATTGGTTAAAAGTTTTAAAACCCTGAAACGAGAACAGATTTTAATGGTTTCCTCCTGTGTTGTGTTTCTGTGTGAGGTTCTCCCAGAAGATGAAACTCCACTTGGTCCAGAAGTTGTGCAGTCGTGCACCACAGCAACAAATGAGTGAAAACATCATTTCTATAAATGAACCTGCTTTTCAACATGTGGATGTGCAACATGCATTCCTAAATGTGCGTGTGCTTATCTTTAGTTTGAATAAAACGGTTGCACCAAGTTTCACCTTCTTTATTTCAATAATGAAGATCCTCTGTTTAATCTCCAGTACTGAGAAACAGTTTCATTGTGATGTCGCCTCTACTGGACTTTATTCTACTGCACATCAATAAAACCTGGCTGTAGTGATTGTTCTTTAACAACTTACCAGTTTAGTGTTTTATTGACATGTACTAAACATACAAGCATGCATGTTGCTGCATGTTCCTCCTCCAGGAGGAGACTGACACAGTTCTAAGTCAAAGCCTATAATTAGAAATTCAACACAGTTGAAAGTGATACAAGATGAGAACTGTGGGAGATTTGATGTCTTTTAATGAAATGACTCCATGCTGCTGATCATAGAGGGTACAGAATAAATACCAGATCAACAAGGACTGATGGAGACCAGTGGAGGTTCTGACTTTAAACACACTGGAACAGATTCCTCGTCATGTGGGACCACCAACCCCTCAGGATCCAAGACTGGACCCAGGTCTAGGATCCGAGACCGGACCCAGGTCCAGGATCTGAGACTGGACCCAGGTCCAGGATCTGAGACTGGACCCAGGTCTAGGATCTGAGACTGGACCCAGGTCCAGGATCTGAGACTGGACCCAGGTCTAGGATCTGAGACTGGACCCAGGTCTAGGAGAGTCCTCACTCTGGAGCTTTTCTTTGGATTGAACTCGGCCCTTCACTCGTCTGTACCTTAAAAAAAAAAAAAGATTAGTAACATTGTCATGTTGCATCACAAACTCTTAAAATAAGACAATTAATACAGTTGCTAACATTTTTACTCATTCACAAAGTTATATGTTCAATTTTATATTGAATGTATTAATTTTATCTTAGATTTCCTTGAATATGTTTGAATGATGGTGCCGGCTGCTTGTGTCATTACCTGCTGTTCCTCTGCTGCTGATGTTCTCAGAGTCAGGGTCTGTCGGCTCCAGTGCAGGAGACCAGTCTGTGCTGGACTTGTGTGCACGACTTCCTGAAAAACTAATAATTCAATAAAACAAATGTTGTAATACACAAAGATGAACTTGTGTTATGGAATATTTTCAGTACAGATGCAGCCACTGCTTTGTTCACACATGAGAGTAAAGAGGAACTCATAAAACAAACTGATAGTTCTCAATGTTGCAGTGTTCAAATAGTATGTATATTAAATACTGTGTGTGTGTGGTGCATATACTGTACAGTATATACAGTATCATACACAGTGTGTACTGTATAGCATGTATTTATATTAATTATTTAAGATTTGTTTAGTAAATGCTTTTTTAAATTTTATTCATTTCATTTAAAAACATAATTAAAAAAACTAAACACAAGATATATCTATCTATATATATAGATTATATATATAAAATACAATCAAAAAATGTGTATAAAATAAAATGAAAGGTGGCAGAAGAACTAGTTTTATGAAAACAGCTCCTTTTTACCTAATTTTAATGTAAATCAAAATATTTTTACAAATTTAAATTAAAATATAATTCACAAAGATAACAATGTAGCCAAGTTAAAAACATAAAAATTCAAACATCTAAATCAAATAAGACAACAACTTAAGTAGATTTATATTAACGATTTCCATATTCTTTCAAGAAACTCGTCTTTATCAGTCTCTTAAATGTTAACAGTGATGTGGCATTTTTAACGTTATCATCCAAACATTCCACAATCCTATTCCCTGAATTATTGTGGATCGTTCCTTCAAACTAGTCCTAAAATAAGGCTTCACAAACATCTCAATTCCTTTAAGAACATATAAACTCTCTCTTTTAACAAAATTCGTTTGAATATTAACAGGCAACATGTCTTTATGTGCCCTATACATAAGCAACAAAATGTTATAATTAACCAAATCATAGAATTTCAGAATTTTCAGTTGATAAAATAAAGTATTCAACGGATATCTTGTTTTTTTTTTCATAATAATTCGTACAGCTCTTTTCTGTAAAATGAGCAAAGGATTAATTATAGTTTTACACGCGTTACCCCAGAATTCAATACAATAAAGCAAATAAGTAACAACTATTGCATTATACAACATAAACATTGCTTTATCAGTGAATAACTCTCTTACTTTATACAGAATTACTATCGATTTAGATATTTTTGTTCTCAAATTGTTTATGTGAGGTTTCCATGTTAATTTCTCATCAATAATAACACCCAAAAATTTCACCTCACTAACTACAAATTTCAGTTCCACCTACCAAAAATGGAGCGTGAACATCTGTTTTTCTGTTGCTGTGTATCATGTAATAGGTTTTATCCAGATTTAATGATAACTTATTTAGAAGAAACCAGTTTTGGATTTTTACAAATTCTGACCATATTAACTCCAGCATTTGTTCTGTATCATCACCTTTACAAATAAATGTTGTCATCTGCAAATAAAATACAGCTAAAAAAGTCTGACACATTAACCAAGTCATTCACATACAAATTAAATAACCTGGGTCTAAGTACAGAGCCCTGAGGCACGCCATATGTGATATTACTAAATTTAGATCTTATGTTATGTATTTGAACAAATTGTTTTCTATCTTCCAAATAACTATTTACCCACTTTGATGCTGTCCCTCTAATACCATATTTATATAGTTTCTCAAGAAGAATTCCATGATCTATAGCATCAAATGTCTTCCTTAAATCAACATAAATACTAATACAACTCTTCTTCTGATCAACTGTATTTATTATCTGCTCCACCAATTCAACTAGTGCCATTGATGTGGAATTATTTTTTCTAAATCCATATGGACTGTTACTTAGTGTGTTTTATTTGTCAATGAATTGATCCAATCTGATCCCAAATAATTTCTCCAAAATCTTTGAAAATTGCGGTAACAGTGATATTGGTCTATAATTATTAAAGTCACGTTTATCCCCATTTTTAAAAAGTGGAACCACTTTGGCTGTTTTCATATTATTTGGAAATATTCCTGATTTGAATGACAGGTTACAGATGTGTACAAACGGCTCAATGACATAACTCGTGTTTTTTACAAACATCATATCCATGTCAACCCAATCCTTTGATCTTTTATCTGCAAGCTCATTTACAACATCCATTACCTCTTCTTTGGTAGTTCCTTCCAAAAAGATACTGTTAGCACAACTTGTAATTTTGAGATTCACGTTTCTATCTACTGTAGGTAACTGATATTCACTCACATTTTAGTACAATTTTAGCTTCACGTGTGTTTTTCTCATCATTATTTTAAATGTGTTTTAATAACTGGTTTAATGACGGCTCATGTTTTGTGAGCTGCTGTAACGTCATATTGACCCGGTCTATCTTGAAATAAAGATGTGTAAACTGTCTCAATCAGATCTAACCAGCTAAATAAAGGTTTAAATAAAATAAAGTGCAGCCTCCTGACAACAAACAGTCCAGGCTCAACACGGGACCAGAACCAGAACTTTGTTGCTGTGAGTGTTACGGTGTGGAGGTTAGCTCGTAGCATAGCATTCTAAGCTAACTACAGTAGTAGAGACGTTAAATCATTAAGAACCAGTTCCAACACACACAGTTATACTCTGACATTGTTCTGAAATTGTTTCACAAAATGATTTATATATAATTTTTTGTTTACCGGACAAAAAGTGATGGGAGCACGAAGTCTTGGAGGGCAGATCCTTATCCAGACTCAAGATGTTCTGAGGTGAGCTCCTCCATGGAGCTCCTTCACATTTCATTATTTTTGGTATTAAGTGAAAACGGCACTTTGCCCAAACGTTTACCCGCTGTAACATCCTCTAACAACACGAAACAACCAGTGCAGTTTACTTAAAGAAAAAAAAACCTAGATAAAATGAACTACCAGTAAACTGCGCTGTGTCTGTACCTGCTGCTAGAGGCAGCCTCCCAACGTGGAGGACGCACTGGAAATGCCCCTGATGTTACATCACATGGGAACTATGTATTAACCAGTGGAACCAAATAAATTTGGCCCATTAAC